CTGAAAATACATATTTTTACAGATGTCAAAGTAAAAAAGAATATAAAATGTTACTCTATTTTAATAAAATAAATAAACTTTCAACAGCCCTACTTCAAAATATCAGAAGCATTGAATCAAAATTTAAAATTTATTTAAATTCTTCCACAGATAATGAGATTTTTTTGGTTACAAATACATGTACATGCCAGTACAGTTACACAAAGACACAAAACTACATGTAACAAACAAAACAAAAAAAATGACTTATAATCATAAAGGCTAGCTAAGTGGAAGCACATTCAAATTTGCTTGAGCAGCAAATTTTTTCTTAGAAAAATAAATCCCTCCATGCACTTGGTACATAACTTGATACAAAAAACAGTTTGTAACACACATGTACTGACCTTCATGGAAGTCACTTGTATAGCAACTACTTCACACTATTTTGCATTCACTCTCTGTGGTCACTACAAGTACTTTGCATGAATTATGCTAATTAAACTAAATAAGGACAAATAGTTCAAAGGTCATATCAGGTGCATTTTGGGTTACATGTATAAAGGCACATATTACCTTTGATTTATTCTACCAAGTTATATTAATATTATATTTGTAAAATATAAAAAAAAAAACCTTCAAGTTAAACAAAAAAAAAAGCATCTACGATAATTAATGCTAACTAACCAATGAAAACAGAAATACACTACCTGAAATTTCAAGCTATCAACAATGCAAACGAGATCTTGTAAGACAAATAATGTAAAAAAACAAAGTGGAATGCCTCTTAATAAAGATAAATAAGAACGGTAAGGAATTAAAGTTTTTCACTGATACACATGTACATGTACACAAGTCATAAATAATATTCACTCATTTGAGGCCTATGATCACAATAATAATAGAAGACATATAAATACAATACTTTGTTCAATCAGCACTTGAAAACTTAATCTACCATCTAAGAAAATGGCCAAATTATTTTTTGTGGAATGAGGTCAGTAATCACAGACAATATGGAATGAACAGAGTATCACCAAACTTGGCACTTCGTTTGAGGATTCATGGGAGAATTTGGAGGACAATTGAAAGCTCGGGCAAAATCACCAGAATTGGAAACCACACCTATAGTCCTGCAAAAAAATAAGTCTTAAATTAAATATTAAATAAATATATAATCATTTTTTTTTAATTAGATTAAAGTTTTGAATGAAAATGGTGAAAATACATGAAACAATAGTTTATCAAGTTTACGGAAACAGAAAGCTAATATAGTTGAATTTGGTACATGTATTTCAAACACTGATTTCTTCCAATAGCATGTATATATGTATGTATGTCACAATTATTTGAAAGTCCTAACCACTTATTCTTTAAGTATTTTATCCTGGATTATTATCTTAAGCCTTTTAACTAGATATTTGGAAGTTTTTCTCAGTTTTTCCTTTTTCTTGAAATAATGAAGTTTGATTGTATATGTATCTTGTCAACAGATTAGGGTTAATTCACTTAACATTTTGAACAAAAATTATTACATAATATAGTAATGATACATGTAATGATTTGATTAATTATTACGATTTTCCTGACCTGTATTTTCCTATAGTGTGAGGATCAGTCAGTATAGCTTGTTTCACGTACTGTGGAGTATAGTAGGAACACCATAGCTACAAACAAACAAACGAACATTTTTACACTAAATATTTATGATATACATACACATGTAATTCCCTATAGATAAAGTTAAACTTTAGATATCTCAAACACAGTTATTTCCATGATACCTCAAAGTCATTTGGAAGTTGCATCTCTTTATTCTTCAGTACCATATAAGTAGAATTTTTAGCGAGGATTTAATTTTGGCATTATTAGCGAGGGTGCCGAGATCGCTAAAATTGAATATCGCTAAAAATTAATTGCAATTTATTTGTTATGACTTCTTTAACATTCATTTCAAAATCGCTAAAATTACATCTCGCTAAAAATAAATTACCAGTTTCTCAGGGCAAATCGCTAAATTTGCGTCTCGCTAAAATTTCTACTTATACGGTATTTCAGTTTGTTGAAGATTACCACACTATAAACTACAGTAATCTACCCTACCTGACCAAAGCCAACAAAAAACAGCTGTTCTGGAGTGAGACCAAGCCCTGGAAGGTATGTGACCTCTGCTGACCTTTGTGACTTTTCCCAGAATTTGTATGCGGCATACGCCATTTTCAGACCTCCGTTGTCAGCAATATTCTCTCCAAGAACTCTCTCTCCTTTCAACTACAGGAAAAGACACATACATGTACCTCATGTTTTATAACATAATCATGTTAAAATGATAAAATGATCGAGTCAAAGATTTACATATATGCTTGATATTTCATGATGTATGTTTAAGATTTCAACCACAAATTCAAGTATCAACATCATTATCTATGGCATTCAGTTATCCATTTTTTTCCTTACTGTCAAATCAAAATTAAACAAGAGATGCCTGGCCCCTCCTCAACCCAAATTGAAATGTTTCCAAGTCCAAAAGGGGCACAACTCTGTCAAAAATGGTGCGAACGTACCCAAAACAGAACTTAGATAATATCTGTATACCAAATTTCATTTCAGTATGGGCAACGGTTATTAAGAACATGAACGGAAACTAAGTGGACCGACAGCTAGACTGAAAACAGAAGAGCAATATGCTCTCCCTACTTCATAGGGAGGCATAAATATATATTAAGTATGGCTGTATATATGTATATATTCATATCACAGAGATCAAGATATTGATAATCTTGTAATGTCTCTGACACCGGGGTTTTAAATTCATTGAATTTTTATGCTAAGAAGTTTTTACTGAACTGCATTGTTAACACTACAGACAGAGACAGTTAACTTACATGAGTATTCTCAGCAGTGTAGGCGGAGTATTGTTTGACCATACAGGATGTCTCTTTCTGAAAGCTCAATGCTGATTGGTTGGACCACCAGTTATTGAGATTACCATACTTATCATAATGGCGACCTGATAAAATCAAAGTACTGATAAAAGTTGATTTACATACTTCTGAAAAGGGCAACTGAGAATATTTATGCTGCAATTTGAAAAAAAAAAATATAATTCATTCTGATAGTTACAATAGATTTATATGGAGAGAAAAATCCTTTGTTGAATATACAGGAATAAGTAAAAGAATTTTATTAGATACATTTTCGTACCATCATTGTCAAATCCATGAGTCATTTCATGGCCAATTATCATTCCAGCAGTTCCAAAATTGAAAGACCTAGAAAAGAAAAATAAATGGAGCATAATTCAATATGGTCCAATCTAACAGTAACCTGTGAAATCTTCACCATCTTTTTCTCCCAGAGATACCCCGGTAAAACGATGAAGTTTTGTGTTAAGATGTTTTATAATTCTACAGTAAAACTTTATTTAAAGATGGAAGAAATGGATACAAATATGAGGAGTATGCAATTTACAGTAATATTTGTAGGGAGCTACATCCTCCAAAACGAAAATTTCAAAGTTACAGTGTGGGGGTAATTTTTGAAAATTTTGTAAAAATGTATCATATACTCACGTAGGAAATGTTGGTGTAAAGAAAGGCCGCTGTAAAATAGCAGCAGGGAAGACAATCTGGTTATACGACTGTGAGTAGTAAGCATTGGTCTCAGCTGGAATCATGTGCCATCTGTAAAAGAGAGGTAACTCTTATTTGACAAAGAGAAACAAACGTGCACATACATGAGAGGTAACACTTTGAAAAATCTATTTACAAATCTTTTTAATGATTGTAAAGGATTGTTAAGGACTATGAATAATAAGCATTGGTCTCCAATGGAATCATGTGCCATCTGTAAAGATAGACAACTCTTACTTAACAAAGAGTGTTAACTTACACAGCACAGAGAGGTAACTCTATTTCAATCTAATTATAGGATTGTGAATAGCAAGCATTGGTTTCACTTGGAATCATCTGCCATTTGTATAGACAGCTTAAACTTAAAATTGTTCAAATGTGTTGTCAGTCCCAACCATTTTTTAAAAATGTTTTTTACACTTGTTATGTCAAATACTTGGTTTATAAATATCTCAAAGTTTAATCCTGGTTCTTTCCAGTTTGAGATAAAACATAAGGTTTGACTGTATAACAAAGAGTGTTAACTTGCATAAATACTGTATAATGCATCAAGTCTGTACGATTAACAATATTTGAGTTCAGAAATTCTGTCACACAATCATAAGAAAGCTTATATCTAAGTCACAGCCTATATATACATACTCTTCTCTGTCAGGCACGGTCCCTAACTTGTTAAAGTTCTTCACGACAGACTCCCTAAGACTGTTTAGATGACTGTGGAAAAATTGACCACTCTCTATTGTTACCTGTGAATAAAAGGACTTTTGGCATGAATATGATAAAATTATGTATTACATAGTAAGAACATTTTTTTTTTCTTTCACTGACTTTCATAGATTAAAATTTCAAGTATACACAGTCTAGAATTGTATTTACACACAAAGTTAATCTCTATATTCTAATGTTCTAGCTCCATAAGAAACCAGAGTGAACTATCAATAAGAAAGTCTTATGCATACAAAATGCAAATTTGTGCAGATTCAAACATCTGAATGCTACTCACATTTTCATAGTATTTATCCAGTTTTGATGTATCCAGGATCCAGTCCGGATAACCAATCATCTCAACAATCTTCTGGACTTTCTCCTTGGCGATCTGTCGTGTGTGTTCATCCATCCATGAAACCATTGGCAAATGACGGATAAACGCCTCCTCCACTTCCTTCACAATTGTAAGAACCTATCAAAATAACCAAAAGAACTTCCGAGTCTTTTGTATATATCTAGTATCTTCTTATACTGTAAACATCCTTTTTTTCAATGGGGTCATTTTCCCCTAAAATCACAATTTCTACTCAATCCAAACATTGATTTTTTGGATCACCTCTTTTAAGCAAGGCCAGATAAATTTCCAACAGACAGAGTATATATAGTACAAGTGTAAATTATTTATCCCCCCCCCTTAAAAATTAAGTACTTCTCGAGTATCTTTAAATAATTTTTTTTATATCCAGTTTCATAAACAAACAATAACAATAACAGTTTCATGAACTTGTGTCCAATCCCTTTGACATATTGTCAATACAATATGTTCAAATCAAAATCATAAACAACATCTAAAAAGCAATATTACTATATCAATAGATGCCAATCTACATTTTTAGATTTACCATGTAATAGTTAATTTCTTCTCAACTAAAAATTTATGGTCAAAAAGACTGCATCAAAATATTTGACTTAAGGTCATTGAATCAAAATTACTGCCATTTACCTTAGATTTACTATCCTTGGCAAAATACTCCTGAACATAGAGGGCGCTAGAGGCAAATCCAAACGCAGTGTTGACCTTGTTGATACAGCGCTGCCACCTGGGGTCCAGCCCCTGAATTCCACTCTCCACCTTACTCAACAGGAGGGCAGCCTCCACAAAATCTGCCGGGAAATACCCCACCTGGGAATTCAGGGCATTCCACACAATGTAATTGGCTAGAGTCCTGGCCAAACAGAAATATCGCACATAGTTAAACAGAGCATAAATAATTTTTTACATTAAATATCTATGTCTTTTCTGGGTAATGTTGAATGATACATTTCTGGCAAAAGCAGATCAACGATGATTGAAAATTCTATTAATTAATGCCACAGTGCTAATCAACATATTAATCAAACTACATGATCATTGTACATGTATTACAATGGTCTGATATACCACAGAAAACTTTTATGCCACAGAAAAACAATTATATGACTGAATGAAACTGAATGTCTCTCAAATTGACACAAATGATACTTGGATCTTATAGCCCCCAAAATTTATATCAGTTTGCCAAATGGTGGTTAAATAATATACAATGCATATTATGTTCCTCTAACACTTTATATCAATTAGATGTTTGAAGCAGCATACCTTTTAGGAGTTTTATCTAGAATCCCTCCAAGCTCCCGGAAATACTTGGGGGTTTGAACCAGAACAGCTACGTCCCCCAGGTCCCTCCCAAACAAGGTCTTCAGGTACTGGGCCAACTTTACCTGAAAATTAATAATCATCAATTATTAATTTATTAACTAAGTACGGTCAAACATGGAGTCTTCAACTTGATGAAACTCAAAAAAAGATGTCCAAGAATTTATGATTAAATGTTCTAGACAACAAATTCACTTTCAATTGATGTATCAATGGTACTCAATATATCAATGTTATAGATACCAAAGTTCAACAGTGTCTTTAAATAATGATGAACCAATGGGAATGAAGGTTAATTGAAGAGGAACCAATGAAAACAAAGGTCAACTTACAGATGAACCAATCAGAGTCTGGAATTCTGAGACTGTCATTTTATGATAAGTCTTGGTAGGATCTAGTAATTCTTCCTTTGGAACATGTATCTAAAAATATACAAGATCAAATTAATGAGTTCTTTTCACAAATGTTAGTGTTTAAAGTGATTTTATAACAGATATCAAAGTTGTAATTCATTTAATGCCAAAAAATGCATGCAACTGTGGGTACACAAAAATTTGGCATTAAAGGCAGTTGTCTCCCCTTGAATATAAACAATAAGAAGGAAGAAGACAGTGGTTATTGACACATGAAGGTAGGAAGGGAGGAGGGTATGGTACATGTACCATGCATGATGGATCCACACTCAATAGCTCACTCAATTTGATCTAAATCAATGTTCGTCGAGTAGGAGTTGCTTTAGATCTCTCCAACACCATGCTATCTTTGTCACTATATAATTTCTTGCAAACAATTTTAACATGTAAAATTCACTTACAGTTACATACAGTTTGATGTTGTTACTTACATTAGCTAACTGTGTCTCTAGACTAAAGATATCTGACATTCCTGTCCACAGAGAGGAGTTATCCCCCCCTAGCAGATTCCCTAATTTGGCACCAAAATCCAGGAAGCCTTTCTTTATCTTCTGATAACTGGAGTGGTTTGTAAAATATTCCTCTCTAGATGCTAGAGATAGACCACTTTGTGAAAACTGAAAGTAAAATTATCATGGTAATTAATTTATAATAAATGCAAAATTATCTCAAATCAGATTTTTTTTTCCACAAACATGAACAATTTCAAGTAGTTCTGTTGTGAACAACCTCCATAGGAAACCAAGAACTGTGAACTATAGTATTATTCCCCTGGTACCTACCTCTAAGTCAATTTTCAGAGGTTAAGATATTTGAATGATTTTTTTATATTTGAATATATAGATGTTTCCATGAATTTTCATAAAATGTTACTTATTTTTGAAAACAGAGAGACAGACAGAACAACAGACACACCCCCTTCCCCTTTTCGAGCAGGGGTATAATGATAAACAGTATAGCCTTACTTCTATTATATATTGACTGCTATTTTTATCATCTACTGCCACGCCCATACTAAACAGGGCCTCAAATCCTTTTGCGTGATTGGTTGTTAGGGCCGTGTAAAAATCCCATGATGCCTCAGACCAGGTCAGACCATGACCTGAGGTCAAAGGCCAGGAATGGAGGTCACTAATAAACTGAAAATAGGAATGAATGGCACTCACTATATTGTGAAATTTAAACAGAGATCAAATGTACTTTAAAGAACAAACGGAGATTAAATTTTCTTTACAACTCTATAGTGTAATGAAAATAAGACTAATAAAAGATTAAACAAGCATATGACCTTAATGTAAAAAGTAAATGAAGATTAAGTGCCTTACTTTAATATGGAGAGTAAAAAGAGAAGTTTACACAATACTACATTATACAACTTTATAATTAATGAAGCTGAAGGCCTCAAAGGCACCACGGCCAATTGATTTTAAGGAATGGAGTACCCAGCATCTCTCATGGCTTTCATACTCACTTTAATAATGGGATCCACCCCTTGATTTTCTATGGTTTTCTCATCCATGCATAAGTTGTAAAATGTTTTGGCTTTCTCTATGGCTGTGGAATGGTTGTTCATGAAAGTCGCACCACCTTTCTCCAGTATCTGAAGTTTCAAGTGAATCAAATAAACAGATAAACAGACAATATGCTTTACTTTTATTTTTGTGAGTTTGTGTGAACAAAAAAAATTGTTCCATTTTTTTATTGACCAACTCTTCAAAGTTGTCACAGATATTTTTGTCCAAGGAAAGAGAAATACAGTTAAAAATGTCTAATCGGATACCCATGCAATCAGACACACTGTGAATTCCAACATTTAATTTTGCATGTTTTTTTTATAACTTTGCAATCCAACACCAAGCCTATTCTGACAAAATCTGTCTCCCAGTGTCTAGTGTATGTCGGATTAGACAGGTTTCACTGTATCTAGGAGAAACTGTCCTTTTAGTACACCTGCACTAATTTCGAAAATACTTACAGCTCTAACTTTTTCGTTGTTGTGGTCCCCTATCTCAGAGAACAAGCTGTAATGGGATCGTGAGGCTGGGATTTTGGTTGTCTTTAGCCAGTTCCCACATGTATACTGATAGAAGTCCAGGCACGGGTCCACGGACCGGTCCATCTTACTCATGATGTAGGCACTGGACTGGACACAATCAGGGGTAGAGCAGGTCTGTAACAAAAAATCAGATCATTAAATATCTAAAATTACACTGTATACTATACAATTATTGCTGTGTTTTGAGGTCAATACAATGATTTAGCCATCTGAGGAGTACAATATTCACCGAGCCCGGAGGGCGAGGTGAATATTGTACTTCGAAGATGGCTAAATCATTGTATTGACCGAAAAAAACAGCAATAATTGTTTTATTATATGATTCACTAATAAAATGATAAAACCCATTACTTGTTTGCATTTAATTAAGTCCTATTCAAATACAATTAAGAGAAGCAGAATTAAAATGATAATCAACATTTCAGGTCTTATTTATTTATTTTTTTTTTATTTTTTTTTATCAATTTTACTTGCCATGAAAAAAAAAATTATGTCAGTCTTTTTTCTAGGATAGATTTTTAAAGGAAGGATTATTATCAGGTAAAACAGACTGCCAAAAAAGTAAAAATTGTTGTTCATTAAAAGTGTTGGATGGGTGTCTCTGCATTCCCTCTTACCACCCTCACCCGAAAATATATATTCGCTTATATTTTGTTCACATGAAAAAAAAAAGTCATAGCCGTTTAAATAGCTGTCCAAAACAATTTGTATCAATTTGGAATTTCCCGATCTATTTTTAGATCAATGTAGAGGAAATAAATCCCTGTATTGACCTGGAACGTCACGTGCAGGTCAATACAACGTAGTATTTTTCTAACATAGTTAGATCTCAGCCAATCAGAGAGGTGGAAATTATTCAATCATATAATAAATATTATTCTGTATACATTTATATCTGTTACAGGGCTGTACAAAAGAACACCTTCCAAGAAGATTCACTTCTCTTTAGAGTAGTTGAATTTCATTGTCTCAACAAGAGATGTTTGTAAAACACTTAATATGCCCCCCTCCCCCTAAATTGAAATTTTTCCAAGTCCAAAAGGGCATAACTCTGTCAAAAATGGCGCGATTATACCCAAAATAAAACTTGACAAAGACATTTTGATAAATCTGTGTACCAAATTTCATCTCAGTATGTGAACCTCTACAAAGAAAATGAACGAAAACTGCAAATAATTGGAATTTTTCTAAGTCCAAGGGACATAACTCTCACAAAATTGGTACCCAAAACAGAACTTGACTTAGATATTCATGTAAAATATCAGTAAAATTTCAGTATGTACAACTGTTGCAAAGAAAATGAATGGAAACTGCAAATAATTGAAATTTTTCCAAGTCCAAGGGGCATAACTCTGTCAATAAAGTGCCCTGCCACAGCATGATACGCCCATCAAATTGTTCAATAATCATAAATTGGTTGGGGTGCAAGAAAATCAGGTAACCTTGTTTAACAGAGTGACACATGCAGATTTCAATGATCTAATTTCCATTTCTTATCATGTTTAAAATATTGTACATACATCTCTAAGAGACTTACAGTGTAGGGATTAATTATAACAAATAAAACATGGTCATCATATAATTCTAAACTGGCTGTGTTAGAGCTTAACAAATATCCATCTGCAGCTTTAAATTGTTTATTGCATATCTTATGAAATAATGGAAATGCTACAGTCTAATAAAAAATAAAAAACTAGATGCTGTCATGAGACAGTAATACCCGCACTAAGGTGTTTGCCTCTAAATACACAATCCTACGGGCGGCTTACCAAGGAAAAAGTCAAAATAATTCTATATAATTCAGGCACGTAGCATCGTTTTTGAAAGTGGGGGGGGGGCGGCAACCTGAGAAAATTTTTTTTACTAACCTAAAAAAATTAACAAGGAAAAAAAAATGAAATGGGGGGGGGTGGGGGTGGGGGGGTGGTGGCCACTTTTTTTTCAAGGCAAAATTACTTTCACTTCCAATTTTTCCCATATTTCCTTGCAATGTATATACTGTGGTTAAAAGTGGGGGGAGGGGGCAACCATCTTTTTAATGGACATTTTCTTATAGTACAGGTAATGTTGGGAAAAAAAGGGGGCAGCCCCCCCAAGCCCCCCCACCCCCCCCCCTCCCCCCCCGGTTGCTACGTGCCTGTAATTTACATATGTATTCATAAAATTGGGTATGAAATTATCCCTGTGACCTATAACTCAGAACCTCTTATATTTATTTTACATGCTTAATTCATTATATACCAGTTTGAATTCTATTAATAATGTAAATTAGATTTTCCCGTACGAAACAGTCCGGGCGGCTTAGACACGGCTCAGGCACGGATTCCGTCTCCAGAAACCCGTGCTTTAGCATTCCGTGCTCCTATGTAAAGTGTGTATGGAAAGCCGTGCCTAAAAGTGGTCGAGGCACGGACACGGCACGGGATATTGGCCGAAATATTTAAATGAGATCACACGGTTTTACAAAACCCATGTCAGAAAGCCGTGCTAGTTTCCATATATGGACTCACGGATTCTGTAAACCCGTGTCTGAAACCCGTGTCCTTTTCCATATATGGAGACACGGTTTTTTGGAAACCCGTGTCAAAAAAGCCGTGCCGTATACCATATAAGGAGTCACGGGATCTGTGCATTTGTCTAGATCTAGGTCATGGCCTTTAGAGAATCTCCTGATGTAACTGTGGATGCCAAAATGGTGACTGCATGAAACCAAACTAACTTCACATTGCTTTACATTAATGCTTAGTTTTAGAATTTCAAAAGTTAAAACTCTTATATGAATGTGTCCATTTACTTTCTGCTAAAGATTAACTTTATCAGTTACCTGTACAATCCATGGTAGTTTTTAATTAAGATTTTAATGATAATGTACAATATTCAATTGTAATTTAATCTAGTAGCTATAAGTTTTCACAATCTGAGAAATAATTTAGTTTAAATAAAACTTTCACTAGCACAGTGATGTCACATAAAATAAATACTATAAAGGATTAGTGAAAGCCCATAAAGTCATTCTACAGGAAGATCATGAAAATTGAAAAATTGACTTATTTATTCTCGATTACACTTACTGCATTTAGTTCAAAAGTGAAGAAATTATCCCAGACTGACATAAATACAATTCCAACTGACATCTATTAGTTAAATAATCCTTTAAATAGTCTCAGCAAAAAGACACATTGACTTAGCACATGACCATGAATCCCTCCAATTTAATATTCAAATAAAGGAAGTTATGATTGAGCATGCTCAGTAAAAAGCCGTGAGATATAAATAAATAGTTTGAAGCAAAACCCGCCTGAGTTAAAAACCGTCTCCCTGGGACACGGATTCCGTGCCTCCACACGGGTTTCTGTGAGTGAGGATTCATAGCTTTCAGATACGGAAGCCGTGTCCGTGTCTTGGACATGCAGAACCCGTGCGGCTTTTTAAAAACCCGTGCGGATTCCATGTCTTAGCCGTGCCCAAGCCGTGCCTATTCCGCCTCCAACTTTCGTACGGGTTGATAAATGTTTTGCTCATATTAGGACCTCTTTAAATTTACTAATCCCCCCCCCCCCCCCCTCTCGACACCACAATCACACAGTACATACTTTTGGGAATAGGCTAGATGGAACAGTTTTGTTAAAACAGTGTTTGTTATGAATTAATTTAAAATTTGTTCTTGACATGTAAATTCTACATCACATCACGTTGCGTCACCCATTATCATATTTTTAGATTAAACTCCATTCGGTACACCTCGGCCGATTCCCACTTCATCTGATAAGGTGACGGAATCGACGGCACGGAGGTTTTCCGAATGGAATATCATTATAACATGCTGCAGAATGGTGTGCTTTGGATTAATTCATTTTGTGTTATAATTGGATTTATATTTCATGAAGTTTACAGGACCTATGGAGGTCGGTAAGTACAAGTTTAAGTATAGTGGGGGTAAAATAAACCCAAACGATTAGGTTAAAGTTCAAAAAGGGTCAAAGATCATCGCATGCCACACTAGACGAATTTCATATTGTGAAGTTATCTCCCCTTGTCGATGTGACATTCAGTTACTGCCAATACTGGTGCGGATCCAGAATTTTTTTCGGGAGTAGGGAGGGGGGTTCACACCTCAGTCAAAATATTCATGCCTAGAATTTCCTGACAAGCAGGAGAAAAAAATCATACACTGAAAACAAATGAACAAAAAAAACCCAATGTTTTCTTAGTTAGGGGGAGGATGTCCAAAATCATTTTTTATTTGCTTCAGTATATAGTCTTGTTTAAATAACAAAGGAAATTCCAGGGGGGGGGGGGTTCCAATCTCCCTACCCACTCCCTATCCCTGAAATAACAATCTATTTTGTGATTCCAATTAAATAGTATATTTTTTTCCATTTGACTAATTATGTACATATTTTGTTTCTTGTGTTTATATTATGTCTGTATATTTGTCTGCAGAAATTATAACCTCGCCCATAAGTTTTAAGTGGGATGGGATATACAATTGGCTTCCACATTTTATAGGTTTATTTCTTGTGACAATTAAGACCTTTTATTTGGGTACCATTAATTTTTACCTCTGATCACTTGACCTAGAATACACATTTTTACAAGAAAAATACCCAACTTTAAACTTGGCCTAAATTTTGATCAGTAGGTGCTAGGGCTTTCATGCTTAACATGTGTATTCATTGTGAACTGTCAACAGGTATAAATATGTTTGACCTTGACCGTAGAGTTTGAACCACTTAAAAAATTAACCTTGGCAATTAACTTTTGAAGAGGAAGTACTAGGGATTACTTATTTCACATGTGCATTCCTTGTGACAAGACTTTTTTCTGATACCAACAATTGAACCTTTTGACCTTGACCTTTGAGTTTGACATATATTTGAGAAACTTCAACCTTCGCCATAGGCTACCAGACAGGGACATCAGTGTTTCACAAACACATCTTGTCTTCATCATTATTTGGTGGTGTCTCCATATGACGGAAAAATTCCAATGAGATATGTATTCACAACAAACGAACAAATTACTAAAGAAAATATAAAACATGAATATGTTGGTCATGCATATCTCTGCATGAAAAAAAGCCCAGCTTTTCAAGTACTGCAACCATATT